TATTTGCATATTTTTATTGTGAAGATTAAATTACAGTGTTGTTTTACAGTATACATAGTATTCTTTCAATTGTACTTGTGTTATATATTTTTCTAAATTATACATTGAAATACCAACATGAAAAATATTTTTTGGAAGATAACTGCAATATGTTCCCTCTTTTAAATTGTTAAAAAGTATATATAATTAGTGTTAGTTTTCGTAATCAGTGCTGGTATTATTAAATATCTAAATGAAAAATATATTGTAAAGTAATTTTTTTCTTCTTTTTTTAAAACAAAGTTATTGCATACTAAGATTGTTTCTGTAGTGTTTTTATAAAACATTCATTTAATAAACGATAGTATTTTTTCGCGCATGATAATAAAACGATTTAATATCTGTAGGGATACGAAAATGAAAGACTTTTCAGTTGGAGAAAGGATACTTGCTACGTGGGCGGATGGAAGAAAATATCCAGCGAAAGTAAATGCAGTATTAGGAAACGGTAAGCGACCTAACCTTAACTTTGTACGTGTGAAGGAAACGAACTGTTCCCTATTACTCGTTTGACGTTTCTTGTTTCTGGCAGGATATTTTTTAGACAAACATATTGCTTTTTCAATGTAAAATTAATTATTTTTACAGATAGATATGATGTACTCTTTGATGATGGATACGCAAAGACCGTTAAATCGTCGAAAATGACAAAAATCGCTACAACATCTACAAAGGTATAAATTTAGTTTGTGAGGTTATGTTCTACTATTATTAATATGAGGTTTCACAAACTGTATTTGATCATTTTCTTGTAATTATTAGTTGCAGCATTTTTAAATAGGAAAAAATATTATTAGTTGTATTAATTTATGTATTAAACATAATATAGTTGGCAAATATTTTTTTCATAATATTATAATTGTCTCATATGTAATCATAAAAGTGTGTATTAAATATGAATATTTACTACTTAGTATTGAATGATGTTGCAATGTTTTACAGAACATAACTGTTATTTGATATTTTTAATTTTTTAGTTTTATTTTGTGAATAATTCATATATAAAAAAGTGAAATTGTTCCAATACTAGTTTGCGCTAATAATAATGTCAGTGAACATACAGTAAGTGAAAAATTATTTTTAACAGCAACCTGTTCAAAGTGAAGAATACATAGGAAGTAAACAAGAGAGAAGGGATAAGAAACGAAAGCATATAGTTATGGAACTATTTCATACGCATTCTAGAAAACGGTCAAAAAATGAAGCAGATAAACCAGTAAAAAAGGAAGGGCCAGTATTGAATGAAAGTGGAGATAACTTGTCTGAAAATAAAATTGATTTAGATGGTACTCTGTTTGGACCTTGTTACGATCCTGGTACAGATTTATTACGAGGATTTGACACTAACATATCAAAAACAAGACCATATGCGAAGAAAAACAAGAAAGAAATGTTTAAAGTTGATGCGGAACAAGAAGAAGATGTAGGACCTGAATGGATAGACGGAGAACCTCAGGGAACTGAATCTTACATCGTAGATGGAAATGATGGTATATTGAAAATATAAAAGTCTTTATATACAATAGAACCTCAATAGTTGCAAGAATTCAGTACTGAAAATGTATATAGTATTAAAATTTCTGTAATTAATGAGATAACTAATCAATTATTTAAAAGTTTCCATTTTTTATTATACTTCCAAGAAGTATAATACTTACAATTCTTGGTTCTCTTTCTGTTCTTTTTTTCATTTTGCGTATTCATAATTATTATTCATATTATTCATATTATTCCTATTATGTATGAACGAAATGAGAGTACTCATGTACATTTGACGGCATTGAAAGCAAAACTATTGAAGTTTTAATGTAACGCATCTTGTATTTTTTCATCCATTTATTTACAGGACCGCGGCGTTCAATAATAGTCGCAGATAAACGATTACCACCAGGTTGGCAAAAACATTTTACTCAAAGAAAAGCAGGTACATCTGCTGGAAAATGGGATGTCTTGTTTCTTCATAAATCAAGTGGAAAGAAATTTAGATCAAGAAATGATATCAGAGCATTTATGGAAAATCAGGGACAACTTGATTTTGATCCAGAGAAATTCGATTTTTGTATTCATAGAAAAAAGAAAAGTCATGGACAGAAAGTAAAACACGAAGTTATTACAGATATGCCAAAAAAGATCAAAACTTTATTACCTAAAACAAAGACAGTACCGGTACCAGATACATTACTCGTACCTGCAAGTACGCCAGTTACAACTTTAGTGCCTACATCAGCAACATCTATTGCTGATGGTGGTAAGTTATTTTTTCTTTAATTCATCATTTATAACATTTATATTACTTTATTAGATTTATTACTTTTTCATGCATACCTATGTCAGGAACAATTTACTGTAAGTGTTTTAGAAAAGTTTTACAAGTACTTGAATTAAAAGTATTTTTGATAATACTTGATGTAAAAAAAGAGTACTGTTCAAAATTTGTTGCTTAACCTCTTGCGCTGGAAAGACATACCATGCACATTGAGATGCTTTTGTTCCAATATTCCTAATAACATCTTACACACATCGATAGTTGCATTACACATATTAGATTGTTTTAAAATGTATCATTCTATACAAAATTATTAACAAACAAAATTAATTTACATATCTGCATAGAATAGGTAAAAATAAAATTCTTTACGCAAGACTTTGCTAAATCTCTAAAGTATTTTCTAGCACAAAAGGTTAAAAGAGTTAATTTATTATTTTTTATTTTTTTTTCTATTAATAAACATGTTTTATTATTTTCAAACAGCTGTTTTTATTGGGGGACTTCGTGTAGAAATGGAGGATAGTGCTTACAAATGTCCAAAACAAGGGTGCAATAAAACATTTAGAAAGGAAAATCTTTTGCAAATGCACATAAAACATTATCATCCAGAATATTCCAAATTTTTGGGTTCTACACCAAATGTTGCAGACCTAGCTTATGCAAGAACAATTGGAGAATCTATTGAAGATATTATCCCTAGAAAGACAAATAATTTATTAGAAAAATATAAATTGGGAAAGAAAAAATCTGTTCAAGATAAACCATTATATGCAATGTCACCAACAGCAACGAATTCTATTCAACCTACATCGCCAACAATAGCTGTACCTACGGTCTCAGAAGTAGAAGATGAAATCGACCAAATAGAACAGTGTAACGAAGTACAGACAGAAGATGTTAAAGTAGAAAGAATGTCTCCTGTTTCTAGTAGTATAGATATGGATGACGAAACTGAGAAGAAACGAGAAGAAACCTGTGCAATGTCACCAGGAACATTATTTGATCTGAAAGTTAGAGAAGAGAAAACATCAAGTGGTATTAAAACTCTTCTTCCAGTAAGACCAACTACGTCATCAGAAACACAAAGAATCGATAGATCAAAATCTTTAGATGAAGGTATTCATATTGACAAAATGAAAGGACAAAGAAAACGGCAGTTATCAGAATATAGCTCTGATGTCCCAAATAGGGGTAAAAGACGTCACGGTAACAATATATAATATATTTTAGAATTGTTCTAATATATTGAAAGTATTGAGTGTTCTCTTCTTGTAGGTATCCCAGAGATTACAGACGAATATGGTGATTTAGATGAAAGTGCTGTAGATACTGAAGGACCAACCACACTTGTGTATAGATACAGTCGCCGAAAATCAGATTCAAGAAGTGATGAAAATAGTCAAAGTAGTAAGTTTTGTTTTTTATGTTCGGCTCAATGTATCTTTTATAATTGACATATAATTTTGTAATAAATTATTTACCGTTTAGTTTTTTATAATTGTAAATTATTCATTTCTCTTCAGTGAAAAATTATAGTCTACTGTTTTATTACTTCATTATTCTATAGGTCAACTAAACGATTCTCATCTTGAAAAAGCTGACCCCTTGAAAGGGGATATTACTAAAAGAGATACAAATAATGATGGTGAAGGTATATTCTTTATTTTTTTTTCTATGTTTCTTCATTTACTTTTGTTCTATATTAATTTGCATTACAAATATTTCCATATTTTAGAACTTTGTTTTCTAATACTTAATGTTTAAAAGTATGTTTTATAATATTTTAATCCTGTAAAATATTCATTTGTATTGTCCTTTTGTTATTAAATGTTATTTATATTAATATTTTAATTAATATTTTATAAATATTATTTTTAGAAAATGAAGGGGTTATGATGATGATTAATGGTGAAATGATAAAAGTGGAACAACTTCGCAGAGAAGAAATAATAAATTGTACATGTGGATTTATGGAAGAAGATGGTTTAATGATACAATGTGATCTTTGTTTATGCTGGCAACATGGTCATTGTAATGCAATAGAAAAGGAAAAGGATGTGCCTGAAAAATATGTTTGTTATATTTGTCAGAATCCATTTCGTCAGCGACCATCGAAAAAATATTTCCACGATCAAGATTGGATAAAAGAGGGCAAACTTCCGACACTAAACAATCGAACAAAAAATCAATATGCAGTTAATCAGAGAACAGCCATGTTGAAACGTTCTTATGATTTAGTTGCTGCCCTCTTGCAGATACAACAAGCATTGCACAGTTTAAGAATAAAAATTAACGTAGCTCAGTAAGTATTAGAAAATTTGAAATTAACTGAAACGTTAAAAATTACAACAAATTATTAAAAATAGAAAAATTCCATTTTAGGAGGAAAGATCATCCGAAATTATACCTATGGGCAAAGAATTGGGAAAAGATAGAAATACAGAAACCAGACATAACACCAATACCGATTATAGAAATAACGAAAGCAGTAAATGATTCTGCAGACGCTGTAGTTGATGTATCGCGTCGAATTGAAGTAAAAATGGAGACAAGATTTGCTTTGAAAGAAGATCCTGATGAAAAATCAATAGCTTCCGATTCAGAGTTAATGAAAATTTTGGAAGAAGATAATACGATTACAGATGAATCTAAAATTACCTGTAAGAAAGAAGATTTGACAAATGAAAGTAAAACCCACATTCTTCTTGATGCACTTACAAAAAATACTACTCTGGAAGGAAAATATAAAACTTCAATAGTTTCGGATGCAAAAATAGTTACAGGTAAGATAGATTGTGACTTAACATTTTTTTTTGTTTTTTATTATCACTAAAAAGGTGTTTAAACTTTTTTGTAAATGCATAGATCTACTGTCAAATCAATCGGCTGAAAATGATATATCTGCAGCAACAATACCAACAAATGAGATGCAGGAAGAAAATGAACATGATATATCAACCCCATTACAACCTTTCATACCACAACCAGAAGCACCAATAGATCCAGGAGAATGTCGAATGCGATTATTGGAACATATTGAACATTTTCAAAATCATATAGATGCTAAATTAACATCTATTGAAGCACAAGTTTGTGGTATGTAATCATAAAGTATACACTAAGTTTTCGTAAATTTTATCATGTAACATGTAATATGTGTTTGCAGCTTTAGAAACTATGGATCCAGAAGATGTACCTAGTCAAGATGTTCAGCCTCGGACTAAACAGACACTTCAAATGCTTCTGCGAGATTTAAACACAGTACGGAAACTAGCAGCTCTATGTTAGATAATTATTTTTTTTTTAATTACTTCATTGAATTATATTGAAAAAACGTTATTTTTTATAGCGTTGGTTAGTAGCACTATGTTACAATATGATTGTTTCCATTTTTAGTTA